CAGACGTGGTCAACCTCTATGGGTCAACCGCGATAAGTTCAGTTACATTGGCACCCCTCCTCATCCGTCGACCCTTTATTCTTCTTCGGGCGTTCACCAGATGAATACTGCACGAGAAAAACTCAATCTTATAATGTCGCGTGTATAAACAACAACAAAATTTTGTAACAAATACACATCACAAGATGGAAATACGACTAGATAGAAATTGTTTACAAATCATGAGTGCATTATATTCACACAAGGAAAAGAACGGACAAGACATGTGTGTGTGTTACCAATTTCATGTCTACTATACAACTATTATGGAAAGTTGTCTATGAGCCGGGTGCTGACCCAGAAACGGGGAAATGCCGAGTATTAGCACACTAGGAAAATGCATTGACCTGGCAAAATAAATTACATAATTATTTTACTTTTACCAGAATTAAATAGACATAAATGAAAAGTGAAAAGGGATTGGTGAGAAACTAAATTTTAGGCAATCCTAAGTTTGGTCACAAATTGTTTTGTATGAAAAACTGCAATGCACAGTATGTATTGTTAGAAAACAGCACAAATGTCCGTCATAGCTTTTGCAAAAAACTATCACTTTACAAACCAGTCAGTAAACACTAAATGTTGTAATTGGCGCATAGCATTTGCAATTAGCAGCCGAAAACGTTCTTCTTGTGACTGTTGTGCCACTGAAAGGCTCCCAAGTAGCTTGCAAAAAGACCGCGACTAGTACCACTCTGATAGCGGAGTTTACGTTTAGCTTGCATCCAAAGTCCTTCAATAGTTTCTGTAAGAATGTCCTGGTCTACTGGATCAACAAATTCACGCTCGTGCACGAAGGCAGCGTGAGACTTTTAAGTAAGGAGTAAGCATTGGAATTAATTTGGGACCGGGCTTGGAGGATTTCCAAATTTTAGTTAAGGGAAACTTGAAATTTCTGAAAATAATTATGTAGGAATACTTATTGCTAATTGTGTATGATTATTTATTTTAGGGAGCTACATTAATTAAACTGAATTTTCTATTGTGGGCGCCAATGTTCCCTCTAAGGTTTGTTGGTTGGTGTGCAAAATCATAAATTTGTGTGCACATTTTTACAGCATCAATTTTTTTGTGCGCAAATTTTACAGCCTACAGACACAAACACACCCTTAAGTGGAAATTAGCTGCGCGGTACTCAAAACTGCTGCGCAGCGTCTGTGTGATTACTCAGAATTACTGCGCGGCCGCGCAGCTTAAAGGGAACATTGGTCGGCGCCCTTACCAAATTAATTTTTGTATCAACAACAGCCATTTAAAAACAATCATTAAAAATGAGCTTTCTGGCAGTGTCTTTGTTAGAATTTGAGACCTGGACGTAGTGAGGGTTCCAGGACTATACAAAATTGAAACCTCTGTAGGCCTATAGATTATTAAAACAAAAATACTCTCCCAATCAGGTGTACATTGTTGAGAATCTGGCAAGACACAGTACGCGAACTTGTGCGCCACTTGAAGGGCGGTGTTAAGTGTCAAATCGGTGGGCTTGTTTACCTGCGACAAAAATGTAAAGTATAAGGTAAATGTTTATTATATTGATTTCTCTAGCATGACTCTAAATTGAACTGGTCGGCTTTTGCCTCCAATTCCTATGTTCAAGACCGTGCTGAGGAAAACCTGTGCCCCCGATAAAGCCTAATTTTGTTTTGTGATTTGCTAAGTTTGTTTAAACAAATAGTTAAAACAATTTCTATGTATCGCTGATTTTTAAAAAAAATATTACATCTATTCCATCAAACTTTTCCAACTCACGTTTTTTCTCAAATTATTTTCTTCCTCCCGATCCTCCCGTGAACTTGGTTATTAGGATGACCCAATTTCTTGAGATCGTTTCCCGTGCTTTTTTTAAACTGCCATAACCGTTTAATCTTTTGAATAGCTTGTTTGTAAGCTTACAATTAAGTAACACTCTTGACAGTTTTGTATGTAAGTATGCTATTGTTAAAGCTGAGTACTTATTTTAAATTTAAGGATGCATATTTTGCATTCCGCAGAAGCACAATGTGGCTCAGACTGTTTTGGCTTTGGTGATTTGCAGCCTGCAAAAATTCAATTTGGTCGAATCTTTTTTTCAGTTCAGTTTTGATTTGGGACAGATATCTTTTTGAACGCATTATTTTGGGCTAATTTGGAGAGATAGCACCAATGTTCCCCCTAAGTCCTAAGGTTTGCTGGTTCAAGGTTCATGTCTGCAATGATTTAATCCTCATGTCATAAGCATGTGAATGTCTAAATAACTAAATGCAAGTGCAAGTATTCCAGCCTATGTCAATGTCTGTCTTTTATTTTTATTTTATTCATTAGAGATTAGGCTGAATCCACGTTCACAATCGGCACTTGATGCAAGAAATGTAGCACAAATATCCAAAATAATGGCACTGTATTGTTACTACTTTATTACTATTACAAATCGAACCATCACGTCGAAAGTCTGCATCATCAACCCGCATTTAATTAATTTTTTTTTGCTAGCACAAAACTTAAGTAACGTTACTGATTCTGATCATTAACTTTCGGCAGAATGTCATCGTAGTTTTCCAGTTCTAGATATGTGGAAAACTGGAAAACTACGATGACATGAAGCCAGTGAAGCAAGTTGTCTTGGCTAAATTTAAAATATGAAGTGTCGATTAACGATGATATCTCAAAGATTCGCCGTTACTTCAACTCACTTTCAGGGAAACAAGATTCCATGTGCAAACATAAACATTCAATGAAATTAGGATGGAACTCATGCTTATACTTATATTCTTGTCATGCCTAAATAAATAAATAAATATTCTTGTCATTCGCAAGCAATTCAGCAACCTCTTCAGACCAGTGCACATATTCACCAAGGTACTGGGCACGGAGCTTAGCGAACCTTGCTATTACAAACTGATAGGCTTTCATGGCTTTTTCTTTGTAGCAACATGCATAATTCAGCAAGTTCACCAACATTTTCATCAAAGACAATCAGTGCAGTTCGAAACTGCGGATCCTTTTAGTTTCTTCAAACAGTACTATTCATCTTATGAACTGGATCATTATACAGGCCCCCCCCCCCCTCTGCTCCTCACAGTATTCAGTCAACACTTGTATGTTTCTTAGCAATGCTCGTAAGCAAAGTGCAGTGAAAGACATCTGATTTCAATTAATCATATTACAACACTTTAGCTATTTCGGTAAAAAGGGCTTTCCGTACTTTCCACCTACTGAACAATGTGTACACTGTCCTAAGAAATGTTTCAATGTCTGCCATTAAATTATGAAAAAGCCAATGTTGTTCTAGTAGATGTGGAATACTTCAGCGAATAATTGCTGCAAATCCATTGTTCTTGTCTAGCATAACCGTTGCACCAATCAGAGCTAAACATAACCATATTATGCAAGTCCAATAAATTCTCTTGATAAAACTGTTTTTTCTGATTCCACAAGTTTTTGTCACATACCGTCAGAGACAAAATTCCAACAAAGACTTTCTTGTAAACATTACCGGGATATGGCCGTAACTTTTCGTTCAAGATCAACAGATTTGTCAGCGATATATCAGTGCTCTCATCTACTGTTAATGTGTGGAACTTAGCATTGTGAAATTCGCTAATTATAGCATCCTTTACTCCAGATTGATTGACTCAACAAACACAAAAGCGTAATTCTTACTGCGCCAAATATCAGGGACTGGGGCATACTTAGCCCAATGGTTGTGTATGTATTGAACTGCATTCATAGACTTTTCATGTTGATAGCCAAGAGAATGTTTTCAATCAAAATTTTAACCTGGTCTTCTTTGGCACTTTTTCGTTGTACTTCTTCTTGTCTCATTCCTCGATCAGCGACACTTTCTGCAAGCATTCGCAGTACACCTCCTGACGGTCTAAAATGAAGTCTCTGTACCGCATCTGTGTTTTTTGGTTGTTTTTTATGAATGATATTTCGTTTAAGATAACCCAACTTCCAAGCCTCCCACCTTTTCACTGTGGAGAAATCACTGTTTGCATTATCTTTGAAGCACATTTCACAGTCAAAATTATCATCATTTTCACAATATTTAAAAATATCACCCAGCTTGACAGTCTGCTCTGACGATGAATCTGATAGTGCTGCATGCACACATTTATTGAGCCATTCCGTTTTTAAATTTGATCTACACTTTTTCTTAGCAAGCTATAATGCTGATAGGTCGCTAAACTGACATTTAGACATAATGGTTAAACATTATTAAACATAATTTATGATAAACTAGAATTATGTGATTTATTTATTAAATTTATACACATACATGCGCAGTATGCTCCACGAAATTTACACAAATGGCAAGGGTGGCTCAGATCGAGGCTAGCTTGATCCGATATGTATCGGTTAGTTTGTAAATCATTAGTTCAATGTAGAAGACAAATAGACAAAAATGTAGAACTGAATCAAATTAAAAACATGGATGTATATGTTATAAAATGATATAATTCCGGCTGTGGAGTGCAGCGAATTAGTTCAAATTTATTTTTATAAAAATCAGCTGTGCTGATACTCAAAATTCCAGCTCAGCATCTGTGAGCTGGCGCAGCTTAAAGGAATAGCACAAAATATCACTATTCTAAGTTTTTTATTGACATTGTTGCTTATTTATCCTAAGCCTCTTAGTTCCTCTTTAAGCTGTAGTATATCTATTTATTTAACTGACATCATTTTAAAAAAATTCCTTACACTATGCACCAGATATATACAACCTGGTACTAAAACTTGTTAAAGTAAAAGGATAACAATTTTTTTAACATAATAACAATAAGCTAACCTATTGAAAAAAATACTAGGAAAAAATAAAAGCCAAGTGGTTAAATATTATTAATATATTTCCTTTATTTTTATTTCTATTCTTAATTTTATTAATTTATTATTAATCAGGTAGAATAAATGCTTAACTGTTTTTAAAAAAATGTGTTTTAGTCAATCACCCCAGGAGCTTTCTGGTCTCTCAACCAAACAGTATGACGGATCGGGCCAAGCGCAAGTCAGATGCAAAAATACATACCAGGTCTCTTCTTCGGTCAGCACCTTTAGGATTATCTTTGGCAGAACTCAGGAGAGACTATGTTGATTACATAGGCACACATCTACCAAGCAGAGACTTAGGATACAATAATGATGAAGAATTCCTATATGATATTCCAGGCACAGTGCAGGTAATGTTAAATATCTTTGTTTTTTTGTTTTTTTTTGCAATGATGATGTTATGTAAAAGGTTAACTTGGTGTTTTTTCCAAGTAATAAAAATATGTGACATGAAGTCTTAATGATCACAAACAAAGCACTTTTTTTTTCAGTTGTTTAAAACAAAAAAAAATATGTATTTTGACAGACTTCTAATGTAAAAATTTATTTCATCTGTCTTATTACAGGCCTAAGCGATATCTATATGAGCTTTGTTGCTTTTCAAATCTTATAATTTTCTTCTCAGATATCACACAATGGGGATATTATGGTTCTGACTGCTGTAACAAATGCTGCCACGGAAAAAATACCATCGACTGGTTTCCAGACAGAAGGTTGACCCAAAAAAAATGGGGGGGGGGGGGCTGGGAAGGCAAAGGTCAAAATTTCAGGCATCGAGGGGCGTTGGCCAAAGAAGAAAGTGGGACACCTTTGGTGGCAACGGGAGAGCTGACTTTGTTGATCTAAGCAGGCCACTAATGTTTGACGTAAGGCAAGCCAAAACACAGGGTTCTTCCATCGGTTCCGTCCTATATACGCAAAAAAAATATGAACTTGTGAAGGATGAACCAGGTGGTCTACCGCTGACACACTTTGGGATTATATTTCGAAAGCATTTTGGTGTTCCCTTTGACCCAGTCGCAATGGGATTTTCAACCTACTGGCTAGTTTAGGCGATATTGTGACCTTAAAAAGTTTGGAGAGAAATAAGGGTGATAGAAGCTGGACTGGGGCTATTTAGCCACCATCGACAACAAATGCATACACATGATGATACTCAATATGCAATGTACAATGGTCCAGTTGATCAAAGTAAGGCCCAAGAAAAGCCACCCTCGAACATTCTACTGGATAAATCTGGTTTGTTTTGTTTATACATCGTAGGCCGTATTTCATGAATAGAGAAATTTGAAATATTTTTTTAAAATAATGCTGTTATTGGTATCACTTTATTTTTATTTTAAAAGTTACTTGTCCTAATTATTACTATTTTTTAACTGTTTCCAATGTAATAAGTCATTTACTGCTAAATATTGTTTTCTTCTTTATCTTCTAAATTTACTAACATATTAAATTAGTTCTACTGTTTCATTTAGCGAAAGAAACGAAAAGCCAATGCATTGAAGAAATAAAGAAAGCCAAAAGCAAGAAGTCTTTAATAGATGAAGACAATCAACCATCTAAACTCATAGAAATGGAACTAAATTGCAACATTCCAGAATTTGTTCAAGAAAATATTAAACTGGTAGGTCTTGTCAGAAAAAGAAAATTAAAATATAGTTTCCTTTGTTTTCCCTCCCCAATAGTATAAGATGATACGATATGAACTCAAGGCTGTGGTCTGTGGAAGAACTAACTTTATTCTCAATTCTAAATTCTTTTTATACCCTTGTATCACATGACTATCCACTCCAGTTATTCAACCAATATTAACACATTTAAGTTTAAACATTCATGAAAACAACTGACCACATCCAGTCCAGCAGCATGATAACAACAAAGTACAATCATGTCACCAAGTTAAGGCAATACACACCACAACAATACTGGTCAGTCAAACAGTTACTCATACTGTCACAGATTTAGTTTAGGATAATTTAAGATGCAAAAAAAAAAAGGCCTCAGTGCTATAGTGAAATATTTACCTGTAAATTTGAAAGTAATATGATGCTTTTAACTTGCCTCATGAATTTTATGAATTTATTTCTAAAAACAGGTCATGGATAAAAGACCAAAGGGTAATTTGTGAAAGTCATGTACCCTTTGAATACAAGGTGCTTTTTAAATAATGACAAATTTAATGAATTTATTTCTAAAAACAGATCATGGCTAAAAGACCAAAGGGAATTTGTGCAAGTTGTCTACCCTTTGAATACAAGGTACTTTTTAAATAATGAATTTTGTATTTTAAAAACGAGTATTAATGATGAATCAAGTAAACAAATTTTAGTCACTCGCATATATATAATTTTTCAAAAAATTAAATAAGAAGATAAATTATTAATAAGTGTTAATGTTTAAACTTTTCTATGGTTTTATTTAATTTACCATCAGTTCTAATATTTTAGCATATTGACCTCTATGGATTATTAAAAACTAGCATTAAGTGTGATAAAATATACTTATAAATACCATTTTTAATTTTTTTTTTATCGTTATTAAAGTTAATATTTCTTCAGTGGTAGTCATATCTATTTTTTATATGGCTTCGTTTACACTTTGGATTAACCCTTTTTGAATGAACACAATGCTGCACTTGTATTAAATAATACACCAAATGTTGTCACATGTTGATCTCAATATCTGTTTATTCCCTTGGTTTTGTACATTAATGAATCAACAGTGGCACTACAGCCCATACAGGGCTATCCTCCTCAATATAGTCAATCCATCTCATTCGTTGTCGACCAATGTGATCTGTGCCCCTTGGCTTCTGGTAATACCTTTACTTTTTTTTAATATTCAAATACTATGGTTAGATTATCATAAAATTGATTTAGTTATTGGTTGGTGGTCCTTTGCCTATCATCCTTGTTAAACATATTGTTCTCAGAACTTTCCCTTCCCTGTCATTAAGGTGATTTTCAGCTACGGTCCATGTCAGACTTTCATGTGTAACCACTGGTCATATCATAAAGGTGTATATTATTTTATTTATATTTTGTTAGAAGGTTTGACTCTTAATATTTTTGAAAGCAAAATTATGTAAAATAGTGTGCTGCTATCCTCATCTAAATGTTCGTAATTGGTTTATTTTAGGACTGAGCTGGACACTGACCCGGATACTGAATATTAGCACACCCAGCACATGGATATGATTTTTATTATTTGTTGGGTTTTTTTTTGTTTTTTGGTCATTTCTTTTATTTTTTTCCTGCTAAACTTAAAAGCTGGCAGCTTCCAGGCAAGACTAACCATGCATGAAAAATCGAGGGGTTGACTTACAGAGCTGCTTCTTCAGAATCATCCACCCTTCTTAGCTATTATATCTGCTTCCCCCCCCCCCCGATCAAAATTAACGCCTTGTCTTAAAAGCTGGCAGCTTCCAGGCAAGACTAAACATGCATGAAAAATCGAGGGGTTGACTTACAGAGCTGCTTCTTCAGAATCATCCACCCTTCTTAGCTATTATATCTGCTTCCCCCCCCCCCCGATCAAAATTAACGCCTTGTTATCTGCAAAAAGATCTTCTCCTTCTCAACACCTTTTTCCCACTGTCAAGGTATAATTATGGTTGTTTTTGCTACAAATTGGCCAAACTATGATGCCTTCGTGATTGCAGCTGGTTCTGTACATTTGAATTCTCCCCATCGGGTGGCAAATATTATAGAAAATGAGAAGATAACTCTTTTTAATAACACCCTGACTTGGACCCACAGTGAATTGTCACGAAATACCCAGTCTGGGTGTAAATAACTGCATGTCTCCGCCCTAAGTTATTTTTTTTCACTAATACTATAGTCAGAGGTTCCCAAATTTTTTAAATTATCAGCATCCTTGCTTAATCCTGGTTTTTCTCTAGGTGCATTATATCAAGTTCTAACAAGGTCACAGAAAAATAGATAATTGTTTTTTATTACATGGTTAGGTAAAGGTCTATAAAACATGTATTCAAGATCACACAATAAAAGGTAATGAAATAAAGTCATTTTATTGTAATTAGTAGGGGGGTCTAGTCTTTTCAAACCACATCTTCTAAAATCTTGTAATTACACAGGACACCTAACCCCTAGCCAAATAAATTTAATATTGTGTGGGGGAAGTGATGTCCAATCACACTGAATTGAAAATATTGAGCTAGCCACAAGGGCACACGTTCAGCTTAAGACATTTATAGCAATTTTTTCTCACACAAAAACCAGCCATCCTGTGTCGTTTATCATGTGCCGCTGGCTGTGCCATCAGAAAATGACTTCCCCATTAAAAAAATTAAATTTTATTGCCAGGAAACTTTTCACTGTGAGTTCCCATATAAGACCTATGGCTATAGCAGTGTCATGGAGTTTGTGTCAGATCTACCTCATATCATTAAATGTGAAAGGCCCCATCCACAAGGAGATTGGCAACTTTATGCTAGGAATGGAAGTCAACCTTAAATTGGTAAGTAGAAAAGCAAACCTGTTTACGCTTACGATTTTGGCGTACAATGTACGGTTTGGAGTTTATTTTTTTGCTATTAAATGGTTAACTGCAATGAACCGCTAGGAGCGGCTCGGCGTTTCTTTCGTTATGGCCACGAGCCGCTGGTAGCGCCAATGTTAGTATCGTAGTAAATCGAGTCAAATATTAATATTATTGTTCCTGTTTCGCTTCGAGATTTTAATTTACCAACCGGATGTTTATATTTGAAACGCATGCTATTGGCAGAATTTTTGAAAAACAAAATTTTAATCAGTTTTTATTTAATTTCCTAGCTAGTTACAAAATTGTACATGTTTACCGAGGCAACAAGTGCCAGGTGTGACGTGACGTACGTTGTCTAGGGGTCGGTCCCCTGCGTACTAGCCACAGAACAATTTTCAAGGGTCTAGAACCCCTTTATTCCTAGCTCCTACAGAGCTGACTCTTGCTCCAAGTATCAACAAACAATTCAGAGATTCAGGTTTTCTTATTTATTGGCTATGTGGGCCTAACAATGGAAAACTTTATTAGAAATAAGCTCTGGTGTTCAGAATAAAAAAACTCCACAAACTATACAAAACAGTTAAAGTTACACAAGTCCTCTTCCATCCGTAGAAAAACTCACTGCCTTCACAAGATAAAAATCATACACCCTATCCACAGCACTCGCCACTGTTCACTCCTTAAAAAACTCACACACGTGGTTCCTCCCGACACAGCACACCGGTCATACCTTGACCGAGAAAAATAAAAACTCGTGGGGCACACGGGGAAAATAAACTTACCCACGATTGGTCAAATTAACATTATAAAAGTTGACACCGAAAAACTCACGCGATCTGACCGTGACACCAGGATACGTTCGGATTCTCAAAAACAATCATAGTTATTTTCTATTATATTACGGAAATCAAATAAATATACATGCGCAAAAAACTTTAAGGCTGGAATGAATCTAATTCATTTGAGCCTGGGACCGATCATAGTCATAATAATTTATTTTTATTTATTATTACTAATTTAGGTAATCGGCACCAAAAAGTTTAAACTTTAAGTTTAAAGTTTAAATATAGTTAGTTATTTAATATTTTTTTTACATTAAATTATGCAACATTAAAATATAATAATAACAAAGAAATCAGTTGACGCTAAGAAACTGTTAAAATTAAATAATTTATTTATCAACTTAAACCATGATTTACCATCGAAATGTATTTTAAAATAATAATTTAATAACTGAGAACAAGAGCACTTTTGTGATTTAATCCAGAACCAGAAGAGGTAATGGTCTACAAGAAATTTTGGACCGTAATCTAATGTATTATAAAACGACATTGGGAAACCCTGCTTTAGGTATTTCCGATTTTCTTTTTTTTTTTTCTCCACTGGATAGATTTTGATTTCGGAAATTCCCATTATTATTTGTATTTGTTTACATTTACAAAATTACTCAGCCTCAGCTCAGCTACAAGAATTTTGTATTAAATTGTATTTAAAGCCTACTTTTCTAACTTAAGCTATTTCGCTGAAAATAAATTTCCTCCCAGACTGGGTCCTACATAGCTGAAGTTGTCTAGGGCATACTTATATAATTATTAATTAAATTAATTCAAATTAAAAATAAAATAATTTAAACTAAAAATGTAAAAAAAAATAATTAAAAAAACGAAATATTCAAAATAATAATAACAAGAGCCTGTTTTCTATTGATAAGCTACAAGACATTCTTTTGTGATTGAAAACCTATTAGGCATACTTGCTTATAATTTAATTCAATATAATAAAATATTATTTATGACTGACATTCTTGTTATACCAAATTATATAATACCTGAACAGGTTGTGTTTTAAAATCTCAAATGCTTCAGAAATGTGAATCATCTTAAGTACGGTACATCCATCATTTTCTGTCGCAATTCATTATGGATGCTGGTTAAAGTAAAAAGACAATTCAATGGTAGTCTTTACACCAAAGCCTGCCTTCTTACCTAATGCTGCTATAGTACTGATGAGTGTCATGGTCACACTAAGACTGACGTTGCCACCAAGTAGATGAGTATAAGCATTACTAGCAGAGCCCCCTGGTGCACATCCCAGAGCAAAGAAACCCAAAGCAATACCCGGGTCTAGTTTTATACTGCTGGCTATGCCAAAGGCAATCTGAAGAAAAAAATAATTCATTATAGCCATAATTTAACACATTTTTTATTTCCATTGTATTAAGCATCTGTCAATATTCTGCCAAGATCCTGTTCAATTTTTAGTATTACCCATAAAGTTATTTTTCTGAAATATTTATTGCTATAAACTTCTGAAAGCCCTTACCATAGGCATAATAAAAAAACTGACAGCATAAACCTATTGCTGGGGCTATAGGGCGCTTCAGTTCTGCTTTGACCACATCAAAATCAATCTATCAAAATAAATAAAGGAATAAACAAGAAATAATCTTTGAAAATTACAAATCACCATTTTTCACCAGGTGCAGACAACCTTTTCATTAAATGCACCAATGTAGGAACCAATTTAAGTCTACCGGATTAGATGCATTTTTTAGTCAATTATTTTTGTTTTGGTCTTCCGTGAATCTTCTTTGCAATTGCTCTATGAGCCAGTTTAGGATGTGTGCAATAGGTTGCGGGCCCCTTGTTTACAGGTTAATAAAATATGTTTAAATGTATTAGACTATCTTTATTTACTTTGAAAATATATCATCTAATTATCAGACAAGATTAAAATAAAGTGTTTTATAATACTGTAAGCAAGACAGAGTCTTACTTATTCTTTCAGTTTTAAAAAAAAATAATTTCTCAATATTTATCATATACTTTATTTTAAGACTTTTTTGTTGTAACTCCAGGTAAGTTTATCTTACCTCGGCGCCCATTCCAATGTTTGTCATCACAACTAATAATATAACCACCACATTGAAAGCAATGTCAATTGGTCTCTCTTTGCGCTCCACATACAACTTGTATGTAAGATCTCGGGAGTCACGCAATTTGATGGATGATTGAGATACATTATTGCCATTAGTTGCTGCACAGAAATAGAGGGTAGCTCTCCCAGGCAGATTACCTTTTATTAAAATATTTATAGTTCCAGTTGGCTCATGTGCGAAAAACTCTGATTTACCCTTCAGCTCTGCTATCTGAGAACCATCAAGCTTGGCAAATATTGAGCATTCATAGCCATCACGCTGCGGAAATTCAGAAACTATAAATGAAAAGTTGTTTAGCATACTAAATTCAATAGTTACAGCATTTGTATTGCAACTGGATGAGTTAACTTTCTAGACATTGAAACTTTCTTTCTGACTTGTGTAAAGTTTTATAACTGATGATAATTGTGATCAAATGTTATTTGCAAGACAACTAGAAAACAAAATATTTCTTCCTTACTTTGGTATCAAAATTAATTATAGGAATGCAAAAACAGTCTTGAGGCATACTAATTTCCAAACCTGTCGAGCTAGAAGAGAAAGGTCAAATTCATTATGATTATCTGTCATTACTTTGTGATCATTTTAATATGCTACTTAATGATATTCTGAGCAATTTTATGTTTTCTTTTGATGGTAATAAAAAATGATTAAATGATGAATTAATTTTCAATTTTGAAATAGCTAAGGAAGATGAGGTGGGGCTAGTTCAGACACAATTGAGCAGAAGTCAAATTTTAAGAAATAATACCACAAGTTTCGGCTTCAGAAAAAAATAATGTTTGTATCACTATTCTGCACAATAGGCTTTGGTTAAGAAGAACTTTGTTGCATTCCCAATATTTTATTGAGTGGCAAGTGGTTTCAATCATTCAACTTTAAGACTTTTAAATCATGCATTAAAAAATCTGCTATCATTTTACCAACCTATAAATCATCTGTAGCCGTGTGGTGCTGTGGCTTATTACAGTTTAAAAATCACAAATAATGAAACAGATCTGAGAACTATAGCTTTATTCTTAGGTACAATCCGTTGACAGTAAAATCTCTCAAACAATATCTAAATTGTAATCACTCAGTATCCGACACAGCTGACTACTTGTACACAGCTCAGAAAGTATACACCCGGGTTTAAATTTCACCCCCCTGATATAGCCACGATAATGTCCACGTCATGAGCTGTTTTTCCCAGGCCCTCATGGGACAGGTATGTCCAGATCAGTGACTGTGAACATGGAAATGAAAAACCCCATAGGTGTCACCCAGCCACATACAAAATTGTATAAAATGCAGTTTACAAAAAGTGACACATTACAATAGACTTGATTAGAATGTTAGATTTTTAATATATTATTATAATTATTCTACTTAAAAATGCTAAGGTCAATGACCAGATTTTACCTTCCCTTCCCCACATGAAAAAATTAGCTAAAGTTAAATGATGTGATATTAAGTCTGACACAAGGTTCTAGTCAAACTGATCACCCATTCTATAATGTCATTTGATGTCTTCGGCTCACTTCGTGCACACATTTCTCATCCCTTGCTCAACATTCACCCATTTTTTTTCATTCTTATTGTGGTGTTATTGTCTACAACAGTAGTTCTCCTACAAAAGTGTGCTAAGGACTCCAACTTTTCAAAAATTTGTACGTTCAAATCCTTGGGGATTAAATGCAGACACTATACTATTCTAACCTCAATTCAATACTATATTATTCTAATCTCTCATTCCATAAGTGTCAGGAATATTTTTTTCTATTTTAAAAATTTCAGCTCATTAGACTAACATGTACGAATAAATCAGGAAATGATTTATGAGAAAGGATTCTATCAACTTGTTACTGAAAATTCCAGCTTGATAATGTCCTTCTCCTCTGTGCTACCTGAGGACGAAGACTTCTTCAGAGCTCCTAACTATGGAGATGAACTTGGAGGCGTTAGGAGAAGAACATATACAAGTGCTGTGAGGACTTCAGTATCTAGAGCACCAAAGCCAGCACCTCCAAAAGATAACACAGCTTTTGCAGTTAAAGATGATGAAACTTTCTCAGTATTTGCTAAGGTAAGTTATAATTCTGTACTTTTTCTTATATTTTCATGGAATGTGTTTTTTTAAATTTCATTGGAAACTGACAAATAAGGTAACTTGCAGCAAAAAAAAAATACGTTTCAGCTGTAAAAATAGTTCTTTTGATGTGTTATGATTTGTGACTTCTTAAAAGATTTTCATATCACAATTCGTAATAGGATTATGTTTATTAAATTTCTAAGTGGGCAAAATGTTATATAAAAATAAGAAAATTTTTATTAGCATCATTAATAGCAATTTCCAGGCTTTATTTAATAAATACACAATCAAAATTGATAACTTTCAACCATAAACATTTCAGGGACGTGACTATGAGCCTGTTTATGTTACACATGAATGCACAGAGCAAGAAAAAGATACTCTCAACACTTATGAAAGCTGTGACTACTTGCCAAATCACAGCCATATATTTAAAACTGGATTAAGAGGCAGAATATCTCTGAGTAAGTAATATTTGAATTTTGTGCATTTTGTTTCCTTGTAAGAGCTAATTTTTAAAAAATATAATGCTTTCAAAATACAGAACAAAACATACACTATGAAAAAATGTTACAATTTTATTTGACACAATTTAATAGGAGACATTTTGTTACTTAGTTCTTAAGATAAAATTTAGGAGTATTTTTAATAGGTAAGGGTTTTATAAGTTAAATTTTTTTTTTAAAAGTAGATGCATATAATTCACTCACCTGTACAGTGGAGATTGTTGTCTCATTTTATTGTAACCCGTTCTCTAGATAAGCCCTCTGAGAAGGTCCTTAATATGTATTGCATCATTTTCTTCTTATTGTGATAATGCTTTCTACAATGTATTGATTGAGTACTATGTTAAATTAATTTTTAAACTGTGATTTAGTCTTGAAACACATCGATGGGTTATGATTGGCCTGATTGGATTTGTCATTGGAGTTGTCTCATTTTTTCTCCATCAACTTATTGAAAGAATTGATCATCTTAAGTGGAGGATCACTAAAGATTTGCTCAAAGTAAATTCCAGAGCTGAAATAAATAATAAATCAATTCTTGTGTAATGTTACATATATAAAATTACTTTTGTTTTTGCTTTGAATTTAAATTGAAGTGCCTGCCATTCTTTTCAGTTACATAATGACACACGTTTTTTTTGTCGCTAAACAAACTCTTTATATCAACCGTTTATTTGAAATTTATCTGTACCATTTGTTTCGTTACAAATTATTCTTTATTATTTTCTGATTTTATGGAAACTTATATTTTTACTTTATTCCATCTTTTAGTGTCACCATTATTTACTAGAATCCCTCACAAACCACATTTCTTTATTGAGCTTCTTTTTTAAAAGAAAACTTTATAAATTAATTACACTCAAGCCTATGTTTATATATACAGTAATCAAAAGTTAATAGAAATGACATTCCTCTCATTAATGTGAACATTTCATTGCCTTTTACAGGATGAAAGAATCTGGGAAGAATGGTTGTTTTGTGCAGGATACAGTATGCTGTTTGCAGCAACTTTTGTTGTGGTTAGTTTTGTATTTTGAATTTGATGAACTTTTTCCTATTCTGTTGACAGTAATAAACAAAAACAGTGATTGCTATAGGAATTTTACCTAATAACAGACACTAATGGTTCTGATTCAGTTACATAATGACACATATGTTTTTACTAGCAGATATAAAATTATTAAGATTAATATCTACTTTTAATGTTCTAATAGAGTACGTTTTCTGATAGCCTAATTTGTCTGCTTTTCGTATCAAAATTAATGGCTGACATTTCAGAAAAGACTAAAAATGTGAATTAAAAACTCCCAAAAAGTATGATAAATTATTTTCTTAGCTTAAAATTATTTATATAAGGAACTATTAACACTTTGTTATTATTTGAAGGAATACTTGTCACTGTTTGGCACAAACCAATCTTGACTCTAAAATGCTTAAAATTATTTTAATACCTTAACTGGAAATAAAATTAGATCTATCATTATTTTGCCAATTTTTTCCTGTTATTTCTCATTCTCTATTTCAGTCTAAAAATCAGAAAACGTACTCGTATTAGAACATTAAAAAGTAGATATTAATCTTAATAATTTTATATCTGCTAGTAACAACAGTGTATGAATTGCATGAAATATTAACCCTGTTTAAAATGTTGAAAAGAGTAAACTTCTTTTTGAACAGTTTTGGCGTCCTAGTGCTGGAGGATCAGGAATGCCAGAGGTTACAGGCTATTTAAATGGAACCCAGATAAGAAGAATTTTCAGCATCAGGACCCTAATTGCCAAATTTCTCTCCTGTGTTGCAGCAATTGGCTGCGGTATGCCTATAATTGGATCCACATGGGGTAAGGCTGAAAAAAAATTTCAATTCAATCATTTATCCTAACGTTTTTGTACAATTATTTTGATTTTACTTATTTGTTACTGATAATTAACTTATCTTATGCTTTTTTAACGACAGTTTCAGTTTGTAAGGAAATGTTTTAGTCACAGAAATTTTGAGCAAGAATGTCTTTTTAACATTAATTTGAAATGAATTACTTCCCCTTTCCTTTTATCATTGTAAAATTTTTACAATTTTTTATACACTAACGATTTTTAAATTATATTTTTATTAACTTTGATTATTTAGATATTTTACTGAGCTGTGTGAAACAGGATATTACAAAGGAAATCATGCATGTTAAGTTTTCCAAAGTGCAAGCATTGGTTCTGGATTAAGCCAGCTGTCAGGATATTTAAAGCGAATCAATCTGCCATTTTTTGAAAGGTTTAAAAACCCAGGAGACAAGTGAGATATTTGTTGATGTGACTGTCGCCCGAAGCAAATTCAGATTTTAAATAAGACAAGGGAATACAAATTTAATATATTGGGGAATTAAATAATATTTGGCTGTGCTTACAGAGCCAGTGTCCATCAAATTGTGCTCAAAAAATTATTTAATTTGCCCATCACGCAGAAAAAGTCTTGCTTCTGTTGTTAATTAATTATGAGACTAAAGCTGCAGTGTTAGCAAAATTTTTAAGGCTTCAATTTTGCATGTAGAACTCTGCCTTTGTGGTGCACTTGTTGGCTATCAATGTTCTTATGTATCAAAATGTTCATGTAAACAACTATATGAAACTCAATCAAGATTCACATCATTGATCAGTCGTTGTTTTTATTATTTTAATTTTTTTTACAGACGTAACTTTATAACAGCTGGTGTAGCAGCAGGAGTCTCTGCTGCTTTTGGTGCCCCAGTGGGAGGGCTGCTGTTCTGTATGGAAGAAGTTTCTTCCTTCTGGACGAAAACATTAGCCTTGCAGATCTTTTTCTGCTGCATCATAGCAACATCCACATTTGATATTTTTAACTCCGCCTTTGAAAGGTTTCAGATCATCGGAATGTTTGGAGAATTTAGAACAAGTCATTACATTCTATTTAATGTAAGCTAATTGAACAGTCATTACACTCTATTTAGTGTAAGCTGATATATTAGTGGGATAGAGTTTTTTAGAATTTTATAGATTAATTCATTAAATTATTGTCAGCAACTAAATGAATTCTTTAAAAGAACTTGAGTGTCCCCTATCCATAATTGATTCGTTTCTTTCATCAAATTCTTTAACATGTTCATATGTTGTAGTCATGCCGAATGGAACACAAATCCTTTTCCATTAGCAATGTAACTTCAATCCAGAAAACACATCTATCAGGCTATACGTTTAATCAAACATATGTATAATGCAGATCCCTATAAGGAGGAGAAATAATGCACAACCATCCACTACAAGGTGTTTTTTTATCAATGCTGAACCAAACATGTAGCAAGCCAAAGACAGTCTAGGCACTAGTCATAATTACAATAAATATAGGTCACCCACTTAAAGGCAGGAAAAGCGTTTAATAACTATTAACTCTTAAATCACACTGCACACAATAAAATAATATCTGATGCGCAACAATTACTGGTGATGAATTCGCATACTCTATAATTAGTTGGCAAGGTTTATTTTGTTTGCCATATTTGTAGCTTGAATTTGTAGTCTAGGAGTGAGAGTGTTGCACATTTTGGAGTGGACACCATAACTTCTTCTTCTATATCTTAAGGGCCCACGATCAATTTATTGATCATTTTGGCTCCTATGCATGTAGATGGGATTTGCAATGTTTCTGTTACTGGTGGTGATGAGGAAATTATGCACTAGGGGTTTGAAGGCTTGAGGCAATAGACACAAATGTGTCTAGTGTTGTCGCCTCAACTGTTCCTTTTGAAAGATGGTTCCAGTCCCTGATTGTCTTGGGCAGGAATGAGCAGCTCCTATACTGGCTTCTTGCTGGTATGAGCCTGAATTGCCTGTCATGGCCTCGTCGCTGTCTATGGGGGAGAGGGACGAGTTTCTGTTTAATACTGGAACAGTGGACCAGCCCATTATTTATCTTGTACATCATGGAGAGCCTGGATTGTCGTCGTCGTTTCTCCAATGGTGACCAGCCTAGTGTTTCTAGCATGCTGCCAACACTAGAGGTATTCCTGTAGCGGTTTAGGACAAAACGTGCTGCTCGTCGCTGGACCGCCTCCAACCTGTCAATGCTCTTCTGGGTAAATGGGTCCCAGACTGAAGATGCATAATCTAAAATCGGACGGATAAAGGCTTTATATGCTCTTTCTTTTACACAGGAGTTGCCAATCTTTAGATTTCGCCTTAAGAACCCCAAGGCTTGGTTTGCTTGGTTACATACATTGTTAATATGCTCGTCCCAGCGGACCTCTCTTTGAACACTAAGTTTTACCACTAATTTTTCATATTTCATAGTGTCGAGTATGAGCGTTCATTAGGAATTGTTGCGACTCAATATTATGTTCATTAGTTGTTGAACGCTTTTCCCGCGCTTGACTATTATAGTTAGTGAACGCTCTTCCCGCCATTGTATTTATGACATATTTTTATGCTGAGTCGTGACGTATTGTCTATGCAGTATTGTGACGTATGTTTTAGTCGTGCGGCAGTCTTGAGTGGAACCTTGGAGTGATAGGATGTTTATTATACTTACTTAGATATTAAAGTTCTAGTTATTATGAAAAGGAGTTGAGTTTGTTAATTGATAGTGAGAATAGTACGACTCTTCAACGTATGAAAGAACTGACGAATGTAATCAATCCAGAAGACGTTAGGAGTTGACATGGGGGCTTCTCATCCGGGATTGGTGAACCTCGTTATTTTCATACTTGAGGTAAAGTACAAGAACATTCTTACTATTCAACTTTAGTGAAGTTACAACAATCGTCGCATGTTCCCGTATTTCAATGTCGGAGCCCCGCTGCCACCGTGTGTCAAGTTTATATGAGTTGCATACGCCAGTAACTCCATCAACCACCTACGTCCTGTATTAGGCTAGTTATGTCCTAACCTGCAACAGGCTAACTACGCCCTGCCCGTTATCAAGTTACTAACCTCGTTTCCAGTTCCAGTGAATTAACTACGCCCTGCCCGTTATCAAGTTGCCAACGTCCTGTCCAGTTCCAGTGAAATAACTACGTCCTGCCCGTTATCAAGTTACTAACCTCGTTTCCAGTTCCAGTGAAATAACTACGCCCTGCCCGTT